GCTTCCACACCTGATCTTTCAGATATTTGAGAGATCCACTAATTGGCATTACAACATGCGACATTTTACTTTCTATCCGACAAAATGCCGCATGCATGTTAATTTGTTCATACCATAGGGTTATATGGGTCAGGCCAACTAAGTGCTAGGCGAGACTTGGCTTTGAAAGCAGACCCAATCTGAATGAAGCTACGATTCGTGTTGGGCTAGCGGGAGCAAAGCCTATATATATATATGATCACGCGGAGGAGAACACATAGCCGACGGTACCATGATTGTCTCCCAGTTCCCCTCATCTTTGCCGGTGTATTTGCCACTAAGAGGTGGGTGAAACTCCAGATCTTTACTTAAGGTTTTCATGCTTGCTTTGTGTGCCCTCGTCAATGGAGTTTCAATACTTGAGATATGTTGTGTGGAATAAATATCTCCTAGCTCCATCTCTGTTCCGGCGTGCCTTTGTAGCTGTTGTCTGGGGCTAGTGGTGTTTCAGCTTCTCCTACTTTATTTTATCATGATCATTGTCTTCTTCCTAAGTTCCACAACAACGTGGCGGCAATTCAATTCATCTGCATTATGTGGGGAGTGTCCTAGACCACAATGTGTTCAAGGGTCTACTATTTTCACTTTTTTTGTAGACGACTCATGCAACTATTCAAACCTTTGCAGATAGTCTATCATGCGCAGGTATGTTCTTTTCCGATTTCTTTGAGGTTAGTCTAGCCTGTGCAAGTACTGATCTTCTCCATTTTCTCCCTTTTTATAAGAAAGAAAATACTCTGCTTTGCTACCATTTACATGGAAGAACATCGTGATGCAATTGGTCAGTGGCGGGGCCACCGTTGTATGGTTGGGTGTAGTTGAACCCAACGAAACTTGGTAGCTACGTATGTATCGGCAGGTAGTTTGTACGCCTGAACCCAGTAAAAAGATTAGGCTGACCCCATCAATCTCGTGAACTGCCTCGGTGGATAGGCTAAAACGGCCCAAAGGCCCATAAGTAAATTGCCTCGGTGCCCACAGCTACCCAGGTCTCTCAATCGATCCTCAAAAAAAAAAAGGTCTCTCAATCGTGAACTGTACACATACGATTCCTACGCAGCCGCCGCCACGCCTTTACTCGTTCAATTCGCCAATTCACCTCTGGCCTCTCTCCTCTCGTCTCTTCTGTTTGTCCATCCATCCATCATCAGAACCCAGCGGCAAGCCGTCAATTCAATTCCAAATTGAAGGTACAGACTTGTGAGATTGCAGTTCTGTCTAGCATAATAGTCTAGTACCATGACAATATTTCTGCTGTAGTTTGCTAATGTACATCACGGACTTTGATTGATCCAGATGATGGAACAATATTCTTAAAAGAGGAATCGATCACCACATCAAGACAAAGATGCAGACATGTTAAGATGACCTGTTAGATGTAGGCAAAATTCATCAAATATGTCATTGCAATTAGTCTTCTCACACATTGGAGGAATTAATTTGGATCAGTTGCCTAATGATCCAACGGATTGGCAGAGAATTTCATAATACACAAGTAAACGCCAGGAGCAAGTTGAGATTACACTCAAATATTTAACTGCGGGAATTAGAAACCACTGGCTAAGTTTGATTATCCACAGAGAGAAATTTGAAGATACTCAACGGCGATTTAATGATGCCAAAGAAAAGCGGTGCAACAAAATGGGTGAACGGTTTATAAATGATTGTCTAATTTGCTATGGGAAGAAATATATGTTTTCTACCATTCGTAATGATCCAGTGTTTGGTCTTTTTAAGATAATGAGACAAATAAAAAGGAGAAACTCTAAAATATGAGCAACTTTACTTCTTCTTTTTTGGCTTGATGGTACTTATATTAAACTTGTCAAACTAACTTGTCCTGTGTTTACTGTTTTCAGAAAGATGAGGAGCTATGAAGTTATTTGGGTACTAATTTATTTATAGTATCTAAACAAGTGGCTTTAGAATTTCACCCAACTGGTATGTCTTATACTCTTCAACTATTAACATAGCAAAATATGTAGTAGGTACTATCATATTTCTATTTGTTTTGTTATTTTGGGTGTTGTAAGATGGTGTAAAATAGCTTTTATGCTTAACTAATTCGTATCAAATCCTCATGAGTTAACAAGTGAACCCAATGACTAAATTTTCTGGCTCCGCCCCTGCAATTGGTGGAATTTGAGATAACGATTCTAGATCGCTTTGGTGTAGCTTTTAGTTTTTCAATGTTCTATCGCAATGATTTTGCTTATAATTCTTAAAATCGGATCGTTGGTGTAGCAGCATAAATATGGAAAATCCAGGGTCAAAAAATAAAATAAAAATAAAACAAAATTACTTTACTAAACTATTAATGATAATCAGCCTGAACATCGAGTTACATGGAAACCTATACCACCTAAATATCCACAATCAAATAGGAGTAGCTCTGTTCATGTCAACCATTTTTACGTTTCGATATTTGTCCTACAAGTCGGCTACAACCATTCAGGTTTCTTTGCAGTCTTATCCTACCACGACCATCCTAGCTAGCCCGCTAGTAATCAGCACCGCGGGGTCGCCGCTGCCTGGCCGCGCTCCTCCGATCGCTGCCGTGGACGTAGTCGTCGTCGACGAAGCTCGGCCTCTCAGCCCGGTCCCCTCGGAACGAGAAGAACCTCTGCGCACCAGCACAAACAAAATCGCGACATGTAACATCTGACACAGTTAGCTACCAAAGCGACAAAAAAAAGCTATCCAGGGTATACCCTTGTCCTTGAGCCACTGGACGCCTGCGACTGAGCGAAGTCAAGGACCCGGAGGAAGAGCTCGTATCCCCTGTCGGTGAAGTTCTTGAGGTAGAAGACGATGAGGTCGCCGGCGTTGGCCCGCAGGTACCGCAGCCTCTCCTCGATGTTGGGCTCGTACTGCATCACCAGCGGCCGCACGAAGTTCTCGTACACGATGTCAGACCCCTGGTCAACGGGCAGAAGGTCTCTGTTCAGACATGGATCAATCAACAGACCACCATAACTTGGCAACCTACCCTTGTCTGTGGGTACCAGAGGTAGACGAGGAAGGCGAGCTTGACTTCATAGTACATCGGAATCCTGCGATCCGACGAAATGGTTTGTCAGACAACAGATTTCTTTCTTTCAAAGGAGGCGTAGAGCAGAGTACCGAGTACGGCGGCCACATTTGATGAGTCAATGAGTTGTGATTGGTGATTAGTACCTCGATATTAGGGCGCCTGCGATTTCGTCGAATATGACCAGGATGACTAGTATGATCCTGCAAAGTTGCTGAAATTCGTCAAGCTCTGCAAGACCAAGATCTCTAGCCAGTTATTCCATCCCAGTATCTCACGAAGTCAAACTACATAGGCATTTTGGCAATTGCGTGATGCGCCCCAAAATTGCTGAAACTTGGTACTGGCGCGTCCTAAATCCTAATTCTAGCAATTTTAAGCATCGCGTACGGACGGATCCAACAAACCAAAGAATGAGGATTACTCGAGAGATAAAGGCTCGTGGATCAGTACCAATACTGGCACCAAAACCGGAGCTGATCGGTCCGCCCGGTCCGCTGCTCGACCGCCTTGAAGCACTCCAACGCCGGCATGGCATACCCGAACAGAACCCTGCAGCCCAAGCGATCAGCGATCGAGCCGAGAAAGCAGAGGCATGGAAAATCCCGCCAAAAATTACAGGCAACAGAGGTAGAAAGGAGCACGGAGAAATCCACTTACGTGAGGAATTTCGTCAGCAGCTCGACAGACATCGTGAACCGGCGTTGAATTCTCAGGAAGAGGAGGCCAAGATCTGTGTAACCTATCTACCTAATTTCTTGATGAGTTCTCGGAAAGAAAGATAATGGCCGCCCCTCCCAAGTGATGTGTTTGGTGTGGCCTATGACATAGCTTACCTGCCAAGTTGCTTGCGGCTGCGGGCAGGAGAAGACAGGTGGTTAGCTTAGCTCGACCACAGCTCGAAACGGAACTTACGGTATTACCCTTTCGGCTCCGTTGTGTGGTCAATTATTAGTGGGTCATGGGATTGATTCATTGATAGTTTGGGATTTGGGGTCCATGCTGGATATCTCCAGGGGTTGGAAGTATCTGTGAATATACTAAAAGTCCACGGGAAAGGTGAATGGGAGTGTCAGAAAAAGGAGAGCTCAATAATGTTAAGTCGTATGATTTGGTGCTATTAGATGGTGTGACACGAAACCTACCAAAACTGAAAGGGAGATCAGAATTATTGAGCTACTACAGAGCGGTAGGCTGATCGTAATGTAGTATCATAGCTAATATTATGTATACCAACTAAATAATTTTGATGAGGTGTCATAGAATTAAATGAAAAAAGAAAGCGTTGAGTATTATATCATGATACCGTATCATAATAAATGTTATGCTAATATGTGTCATGCATGACAATAAATAAAGTACTACATGATACTATAAATTAGGGAGATAATATCATACACTAGTATTATATGCATGCTAGTATATGATACTCCCCATTACAACCAGCTTTAGTGTCGTCTCTATACAGCAGGGCACACTATTGACTGACTGGAACTGACTTCGGATATGACATGAACTATATGACCTTCGTCAAAAAAGCTTGTCTTATGTTACCCCCGTCCAAACTAATTTGTCTTATATTACCTCCGTCTGTCTTAGACAAGTTTTTTTGGACGAAGAGAGTACATGCATTTTGAAAAGAAAATAAATGATAAAAGGTTATGCAAATATTTAACTATTTGTTCACAATATCACAGAGAAAAATTAGTCAAGCAAATAGAAAAATATGCAAAAAAAACAGTAGCAAACTGCTTGTATAGGGCTGCTTTGGGCGTGTTTGGTTGTCGTAGCAACTTTGTCTGCATTGCATACTTGACACAGTTGAGCCCGACTAAAAAAAAGCAAAACCAACATTTACATGTTGTTTGGTTGCCTGCATACCCTTTAGCCTGCCTGGGGCGAAATTGAAGGTAGGCTGTTTAGTCGTCCGCTTGTTTAGGCGGAAACACAAGTCATGACGTTTGGTTACATGCAATGCGTGTTGTCTGGTAACCTCCTCATCGAGGTCACGAGGTTACTAGCACACTAGGCATGCAGAAAAAACTAAAGACACACAAATAGACACATATAAACATAGTTTTAAACCAAACTTAACAATTTTGATGATTGTACGACACTTAAACCAAGCAATTTTGAACAAAATCAGTACGACATTAAACTAATAACCAAACCAGTGCTCTCCTAGACGTTAAAGCCGAAAGCATCGTCGTGCCTCCCGCACTTGGTCGCCACTTCAATGTTGTCTTCGTTGAAGACAATGGCCTTGAGTGTGTCGGGAGTCAGCAACTTCAAGGTCACCATGTACCCAATCTTAACCCGATGGACGGCAGCGAAGGAGGCCCAACCCTAATCAAGGGTGTCGTTCATCAGCTTCACCGTGACCCTCCATGAGCAGCCGGTGTTCGTCTTCAGCTTGAATTCCGTCAGCACGGCCAGGAAATTCTTCGTGAAGTCCAAGGGCATTGGTATGCACTAGAGCTTGGGGGCACGGATGACCTTGCAGAAGTGAGTTAGCACAGCCTCCTCATGGTAGTGCATGAAAGAAATATGCCCTAGAGGCAATAATAAAGTTGTTATTTATATTTCCTTATATCATGATAAATGTTTATTATTCATGCTAGAATTATATTAACCGAAAACTTAGTACATGTGTGAATACATAGACAAATAGAGTGTCCCTAGTATGCATCTACTTGACTAGTTCGTTAATCAAAGATGGTTAAGTTTCCTCACCATAGACATGTGTTGTCATTTGATGAACAGGATCACATTATTAGAGAATGATGTGATGGACAAGACCCATCCGTTAGCTTAGCATAATGATTATTTAGTTTTATTGCTATTGCTTTCTTCATGACTTATACTTATTCCTATGACTGAGATTATGCAACTCCCGAATACCAAAGGAACACTTTGTGTGCTATCAAACATCACAACGTAACAGGGTGATTATAAAGATGCTCTACAGGTGTCTCCGAAGGTGTTTGTTGAGTTGGCATAGATCAAGATTAGGATTTGTCACTCCATGTATCGGAGAGGTATCTCTGGGCCCTCTCGATAATGCTCATCACTATAAGCCTTGCAAGCAATGTGACTAATGAGATAGTTGCGGGACGATGCATTACGGAACGAGTAAAGAGACTTGCCGGTAACGAGATTGAACTAGGTATGATGATACCGATGATCGAATCCCGGGCAAGTAACATACCGATGACAAAGGGAACAACGTATGTTGTTATGCGGTTTGACCGATAAAGATCTTCATAGAATATGTAGGAGCCAATATGAGCATCCAGGTTCCGCTATTGGTTATTGACTGAAGATGTGTCTCGGTCATGTCTACATAGTTCTCGAACCCGTAGGGTCCGCACGCTTAACGCTCGATGATGATTTGTATTATGAGTTATGTGATTTGATGACCGAAGTTTGTTTGGAGTCCTGGATGAGATCACTGATAACCCACAATTATAGGGGATCGCAAGAGTTTTCGAGGGTAGAGTATTCAAGCCAAATTTATTGATTCGACACAATGGAAGCCAAAGAATATTCTCAAGTATTAGTAGTTGAGTTGTCAATTCAACCACACCTGAATAACTTAATATCTGCAGCAAGGTATTTAGTAGCAAAGTAATATGATAGTAGTGGTAACGGTAGCAATGAAAAAGTAAATAAGCGAAGAACAATATATGAAAAGCTCGTAGGCATTGGATCGGTGATGGATAATTATGTCGGATGCGACCAATCATGCAACAGTTATGACATAGGGTGACACAGAACTAGCTCCAGTTCATCAATGCAATGTAGGCATGTATTCCAAATATAGTCATACATGCTTATGGAAAAGAACTTGCATGCCATCTTTTGTCCTACCCTCCCGTGGCAGCGGGGTCCTATTGTAAACTAAGGGATATTAAGGCCTCCTTTTAATAGAGTACCGGAACAAAGCATTAACACATAGTGAATACATGAACTCCTCAAACTACGGTCATCACCGGTAAGTATCCCGATTATTGTCACTTCGGGGTTAACGGATCATAACACATAATAGGTGACTATAGACTTACAAGATAGGATCAAGAACTCACATACATTCATGAAAACATAATAGGTTCAGATCTAAAATCATGGGACTCGGGCCCTAGTGACAAGCATTAAGCATAGCAAAGTCATAGCAAAATCAATCTCAGAACATAGTGGATAATAGGGATCAAACCCTAACAAAACTAACTCGATTACATGATAAATCTCATCCAACCCATCACCATCCGGCAAGCGTACGATGAAATTACTCACGCACGGCGGTGAGCATCATGAAATTGGTGATGGAGGAAGGTTGATGATGACGATGGCGACGGATTCCCCTCTCCGGGGCCCCTAATGGCTCCAGATCAGCCCTCCCGAGAGAGTTTAGGGCATGGCGGTGGCTCGGTATTGTAAAACGCGATGAATTCTTCTCTCTTATTTTTTTATGCCCGAACACGAATATATGGAGTTGGAGTTGAGGTCGGTGGAGCGTCAGGGGGCCCACGAGGCAGGGGGCGCGCCCAGGGGGTAGGTGCGCCCCCACCCTCGTGGACAGGGTGTGGGCCCCTGACGTTGATTCTTTCGCCAGTATTTTTTATATATTTCGAAAATAATCTCCGTTGATTTTCAGGTGATTTCGAGAACTTTTATTTCTGCACAAAAAAAACACCATGGCAATACTGTTGAAAATGACGTCAGTTCGGGTTAGTTCCATTCAAAATGCAAGTTAGAGTCCAAAACAAGGGCAAAAGTGTTTGGAAAAGCAGATACGACGGAGATGTATCAACTCCCCCAAGCTTAAACCTTTGCTTGTCCTCAAGCAATTCAGCTGATAAACTGAAAATGATAAAGAAAAACTTTTACAAACTCTATTTGCTCTTGTTGTTGTAAATATGTAAAGTCAGCATTCAAGTAGCAAAGATTATGAACTAACCATATTCACAATAACATTTAGGTGTCATGTTTACTCATATCAATGGCATAATCAACTAGCGAGCAATAATAATAAATCTCGGATGACAACACTTTCTCAAAACAATCATAATATGATATAATAAGATGGTATCTCGCTAGCCCTTTTTGAGACCGCAAAACATAAATGCAGAGCACCTTTAAAGATCAAGGACTGACTAGACATTGTAATTCATGGTAAAAGAGATCCAGTCAAGTCATACTCAATGTAAACTAACGATAATACATGCAAATGACAGCGGTGCTCTCCAACTGGTGCTTTTTAATAAGAGGATGATGACTCAACATAAAAGTAAATAGATAGGCCCTTCGCAAAGGGAAGCAAGGATTTGTAGAGGTGCCAGAGCTCGATTTTTAAATAGAGATGAATAATATTTTGAGCGGTATTCTTTCATTGTCAACACAACAACCGAGAGATCTCGATATCTTCCATGCTACACACATTATAGGCGGTTCCCAAGCAGAATGGTAAAGTTTATACTCCCCCACCACCAACAAGCATCAATCCATGGCTTGCCCGAAACAATGGGTGCCTCCAACTAACAACAATCCTGGGGGAGTTTTGTTTGCAATTATTTTGATTTGAATTGAGCATGGGACTGGGCATCCCGGTGACCAGCCATTTTCTCGTGAATGAGGAGCGGAGTCCACTCCTCTTGAGAATAACCCGCCTAGTATGGAGGATACAAACAACCCT